TATATATATATATATATACATAGAGAGAGAGCAAACGTATATGTATATATATATATGAATAAACAGACGCATAATATATATATATATATATATGTATATAAATATATATATATATATATATATACATTTGCTTGTCTGTCTGTCTCTGTGTGTGTGTCTGTGTGTATAGAAGGGACTCCCCGTTGTGTCTGGCTGCAGTTTATATTTGGTGAACAGAGACGCTTTATTTTCTTATCATCCTTCAAGTGAAGCTTTTCTTCACCGTCTTCAGGGTTTGTTTGTCTCTGCGCATTATAAAAATACCCCTAACGATCTGCAGCTTCTCGCAGATGCGCCAGCGCACCTTCTCTTTGTCTTTTTAAAGACAGTTCAAGATGCTGATGATACTCTTCCCGATATTTACTGCGCAATTCAGGTGTATATGCAACTCAATTAACCCTAAAAACCCTTCAAGCACTAAGAATCCTATACATATATCCTAAACCCTACTAATCTCACCCATTAGCATAAACCCTAAACCCTAGGAGTAAACCCTCACCGAAATGCACATAATACGACGGAGAGGCCCAGTTACAAGGGTTTAGGGTTTAGGGTTTAGGGTGTAGGATCTAGGCTTTAGGGTCTGGGGTTTAGGGTTAAGGGATTCGGGTTTGGGTGTAGGGTTTAGGGTTTAGGGTTTTGGGTTTGGGGTGTATATGCAGGTTGCTATTGAAGGTGCACTGTCTAGAGGCGCCATTCGCGAGGCCTTAGGAAGGGGCCTCCGCCCTGCAGGCGATTTGCTGCCCTGGACGTTGGCGCAGGCCTTTGGAGACGAAGATGTGGGGCTTCTTACAGGGGTACGCAAACCCTAAACCCTAAACCCTAAACCCTAAACCCTAACTTCTTTGCTTCCCGAGGCAGCTCGGCAACAACGCAGCAAATGTTTAAAGCTAAGGCGGATGCGTAACTGCTCCTGCGACGCGAATGAGGCGTAGGCCCTAAACCCTCACCCCCAAACCCTAAGCCCTAAACCCTAGTTGGCTTGTTGTGTTTTGCTTCAGGCAAGGATTGTACGGATTGCCGTGCACCCGAGTTTACAGCGGATGGGGTTTGGGTCTGCCGCACTGCAGCAGCTAATTGAGTTCTTTGAAGGGAAGGGAGTGTCTCTTCAGGAGCCTCCTGAGTTTGCTGCCTTCGCCCAAGTCAAGCAAAAGCAGCAGCAGCAGCAGCAGCAGCAGCAGGATAAGAAGAAGAAGAAAAGACGAGAAAAAGTATCAGCCATAAACGCGGATATAGAAGACCTTGATGCTGAGGTGGGGGCATCAGAAGAAGAGACAGAAAAGGAGACAGAAGAAGAGACAGCTGCTGAGGACGAGACGGAGACAGAGGAGACACCAGCAGCAGCAGAGTCTCCTTCCTTAAAGTCAAAGCAACGCAAGAAGGAAAAGCGTGCTGCTAAGAAGCAAGCAGCAGCAGCAGCAGCAGCAACAGCAGGAGGATCTGCTGCTGCAGGTCTGTCTCTTCGAGAGGTGACGTACAAGCAGCTGCAGCAGATTGCTTCTACTCCTCCTCTTCTCTGTGCATGCAGCAGCAGCTGTCCTCCCTTTTCTATTGATTATCTTGGGGCTGCCTTTGGCCTTACAGAGCCCCTGCTGCGGTTCTGGTCGCGACAAGGTTTTGTTGCTGTTCACCTAAGGCAGCAGCCCAACGATATAACAGGAGAGCATAGCTGCATTATGCTGATGCAGCAGAGAACCATACAACAAAGGAGCAGAGACACCGTAGTGGACTCTTCGGGGGTATTCAAGCAGAAGAGGAGACAGTAGGAGACGACACAACACCATAACCAAGAACTGCTAAGGAGACACCAGGGGCAGAGACAGGGAGACAAAGAGAGAGAGAGGGAGATACAGACAGACAGACAGACAGACAGACAGAAAGACAGAGAGACAGACCGGCAGACAGAGACAGAGACAGAGACATAGACAGCGAGATACAGAGAGACAGAAGAACAGCGAGACAGGGATGTATATATATATATATATATGTATATATATATATATACGTACGTGTATCCATACATTAGTATATGCATATGCATATGGATATGAATGCACATTATATATATATATATGTATACAGAGAAAGAGAGAGAGGGTCATATATATATATATATATGCAGATAGAGAAAAGGAGAGATTAAGGAGACACCTGGAAGACAGCAGGGCTGTTGCTGTGCAGCCACCACGGCTGCAACCAACAGAAGAGCAAACAGGAGACAGTTGTTTGTGCGTTAGGGAGGAGAGAGGAGACAGTTTAGTTTGTCTTTGTCTCT